TGTCAGGATGTGGAAGAGTTTGGAGAGTGATGTAGTGTAAGCAGGATCCATACAGTACTTTAAGAAGAGGTATGATAAAGCTCATGGAGCAGGGAGAGACTGGATCTAGTAGCGACTAGCGAAGAGGCGGGGCCAGGAGCTGTAAATCGACCCCCGCAACCACAAATAGGTGAGTATAAAAATGGAATACAAAATATGACTCTCAGATGTACTTGTCGTTGTGTCTGTGGGACGACCACACCAGCTGCTCAACCACCTGTCAGCTGGTGGTCGTAGTCCCAGGCATTTACTGCCTCGTCACCCGGTGTCTGGGCCAGTCTAGGCCATCCTAGGCCAGTTTGGGCCATCCTGGGCCAGTCTGGGGCCAGCCTGGGCCAAGTCTGGGGCCAAGTCTGGGCCACCGACACAGAAAACAAAAAACACGCAGCGATGGAGATGGTGGAAAGATGGCGGCCGTGGGGGTGGAAACCTGGCCATCGAGCATCCCATGGAAGCCCCGGGGGGTAAAGGGAGGTTTCCAGAGACAGATCTGAGGTTTACTACGAGGTTCTGTCCCAGGAAACCCCCGGGAAAGTTCTTTCTATAAAGTTTTAAGTTTCTAGCTTCTTTTTAAGGTTTCCTTTTTATTATTTTAAGGTTTATTTTTTAAGGTTTTTAAGTTTTCATTGTTTTTAAGGGGTTTTACTCTATGATTAAACCTCATCAGAAAACCTCCAAAGGACGGAAAGATGAATCACGGGGTTAGATTAGAGGTTTATGTTGAGATTCAGCCCCCTAACCTCGTTAGAAAAACCCCAGGGAAAAGGGAGGTTTCTTCCCACGTTTAAACCTTTAAGAGTTGCCAGGAAGCCTCCCCTTACCCTTCCCTTGGGGGGAAGGTTGTCATCCTCAGATGCGATGGTAAATCTCGGGGTTTCGCCTACCTCCGCTTCCATCTTCAGCTCTGAGAGGCGGTGGCGATGCCGGGCGGGATAGGACAGAAGAGGGATGCCGAGTTATAGATGATGGACAGTGAAGGATAGGGAGAGGGCTAGGCTTCATCACCCCTCGCTCACCCCAGAATTTCGACGATATTCTTGTTTTGGGATTCCCCACACGGCCTTGGGTTCCACGGACACGCTGTGTGGATCTCGCCACGGACGTGGGTTCCACAGACACCCCGTGGGGATCTCGCCACGAACGTGGGTTCCACAGACACACCGTGGGGATCTCGCCACGAACGTGGGTTCCACAGACACACCGTGGGGATCTCCCCACGAACGTGGGTTCCACAGACACACCGTGGGGATCTCCCCACGAACGTGGGTTCCACAGACACACCGTGGGGATCTCCCCACGAACGTGGGTTCCACAGACACACCGTGGGGATCTCCCCACGAACGTGGGTTCCACAGACACACCGTGGGGATCTCCCCACGAACGTGGGTTCCACAGACACACCGTGGGGATCTAGGTGGGGATGGGGGGGAGGTAGGGATAGAGTGTGGAGGTAGACGGGTAGTGTAAGTACAAGGATACAACTTAGAGACTTGATAGAAAAAAATTAGAGAAGAGACTTATTTAAACTTGAATTAGACAACGTTTCGCCCATTTACTAAGTATTCCCAGAAGATAAACCTTGAAGCGGTTGCCAAATTTTTTTATTAATTTACTCCACCTTTTTGGTTTTATTTCGCTCATACTCGGACAATGCCTCATTCGATCGGCTTCAAATTCTCAACGGTGGTGTACGGTAACTAGGACCAGATTCAAGGAACAATTAGCACGTGCAGGTCACCTATGACCGAAATTGTGTGTGATTTTCGTTCTCGTTTAATAATATTTAAAGTAAGACACATGTCCAACAGTTGATATTTATTGTTGAAACGTTTCGCCTACACAGTAGACTTCCTCAGTCAAATACAAAGGAGCAGTAGTAATGAAATGAAGATGATATAATCAGTCCATCAACCTTGAAGAAAAAGAATTTGAGGTGGTCAGTCCCCTCAGTCTGTGTGTACTCACCTAATTGTGGTTGCAGGGGTCGAGACCCAGTGTGTGTGTGTGTGTGTGTGTGTGTTTGAATGTGTGTGTGTACGTGTGTGTGTGTGTGCGTGTGTGTGTGTGTGTGTTTGAATGTGTGTACTCACCTATTTGTACTCACCTATTTGTGGTTGCAGGGGTCGAGTCCTAGCTCCTGGCCCCGCCTCTTCACCGGTTGCGTGTGCGTGTGTGTGTGTGCGCGTGTGCGTGTGTGTGTGTGTGTGCGTGTGTGTGTGTGTGTGTGTGTGTGTGTGTGTGTGTGTGTGTGCGTGTGCGCGTGTGCGTGTGTGTGTGTGTGTGCGTGTGTGTGTGTGTGTGCGTGTGTGTGTGTGTGTGTGCGTGTGTGTGTGTGTGTGCGTGTGTGCGTGTGTGTGTGTGTGTGTGTGTGTGTGTGTGTGTGTGTAGTCAGGGAGTATCGTCAGCCCAATATCATTTTTCCTTCCACCTGAAAGTGGAATCAAGTGGGATCAAGTGACAGTTTCCTCTGATGACAGGTATTGTGCAGGTGTTGTGGCCTGTCTAGCACCTGCTCAAATTGGTGCTAGACTTTCGCTCGACGACAGGTGTTGTGGCCTGTCTAACACCTGCTCAGACGAGTTATTGCAAATGCTGTGAAAGACTTTTTTCCTTTCATTGACTTTCCTCTCTTTTTTTTCTCTCTGCAGCAGCTACTGCCTTGGATCAAACTTGAGTGCCTCTCATTCCTCAGGGGTTTCTGTGACCTATGTGGGTTTAGCGCTTTTCTTTACTGTAATAAATAATAATAATAATAATGATAATGAAAGTAATAATGAAAATGAAAATAATAATAATTGTTTTTTCTCGCGTAGTACGTGTCCTGAACATAGGTGAATGTGCCATGTGTCCAGGAAACAGGTGTGAGCACCACGTATCCGGGACAAAGGTGTGACTACCACGAGGCCATTGTCCTAGCGGTCTACCTTCCCTACAGCCTCTCAGATACATCCAGTTTGTTTCAACTAATTCGACAACAACTACTGAGATTGCCCGAAATACTGGGTCGAGCTTTATTAGCAGGGAAATAATGAAGAAAACGTCTAATAAGCAAGAAATAACGAAAAAAAACATCGATTTTATTGGCCGAGAAATAATGAGAAACGTCGATGTTTATTTGTTAATTGAGAAGAAAGGTTGCTTTATTAATTGAGAGATACAAGGTTGTTTTTATTGACTGAAGTTTTGTTTTTGAATCTGTTTTAAAACAGGAAATTGTTGAATCTTTTGTAAAACTGGTTGAATGGCTGAATTTGGGCTCTGGAAGCTGTACTAGTGAATAAACCGAGATCTGGGTCCGTTCGAGGGTTGTAATTGGCCGGAAATAGGCTTCAAAGTGGCGAAAATGGGTGTTGTTGCCCTCCAGTGAGGGCTTAATGTATCGGTTGGTCAATAATAAATTGCCGCCAATGTGTCTTTAAATCGAATTTAATGAGCAGACGAACTGCTCTGAGAAAAGAGAATCCTGGCTTTGTGATAGCTGGAAGGCTAGCCTTATGACTGTAGGCTAGCCTTGTGACTGGAGGCTAGCCTTGTAACTGGAGGCTAGCCTTGTAACTGGAGGCTAGCCTTGTGACCGGAGGCTAGCCTTGTGACTGGAGGCTAGCCTTGTAACTGGAGGCTAGCCTTGTAACTGGAGGCTAGCCTTGTAACTGGAGGCTAGCCTTGTGACTGGAGGCTAGCCTTGTAACTGGAGGATAGCCTTGTAACTAGAGGCTAGCCTTGTGACTGGAGGCTAGCCTTGTAACTGGAGGCTAGCCTTGTGACTGGAGGCTAGCCTCGTAACTAGAGGCTAGCCTTGTAACTGGAGACTAGCCTTGTAACTGGAGGCTAGCCTTGTGACTGGAGGCTAGCCTCGTAACTGGAGGCTAGCCTTGTAACTGGAGGCTAGCCTTGTAACTGGAGGCTAGCCTTGTAACTGGAGGCTAGCCTCGTAACTGAAGGCTAGCCTTGTAGCTGGAGGCTAGCCTCGTAACTGGAGGCTAGCCTTGTAGCTGGAGGCTAGCCTTGTGACTGGAGGCTAGTCTTGTAACTGGAGGCTAGCCTTGTGACTGGAGGCTAGCCTTGTGACTGGAGGCTAGCCTTGTGACTGGAGGCTAGCCTTATGACTGGAGGCTAGCCTTGTAACTGGAGGCTAGCCTTGTGACTGGAGGCTAGCCTTGTAACTGGAGGCTAGCCTTGTAACTGGAGGCTAGCCTTGTAACTGGAGGCTAGTCTTGTAACTGGAGGCTAGCCTTGTAACTGGAGGCTAGCCTTGTAACTGGAGGCTAGCCTTGTAACTGGAGGCTAGCCTTGTGACTGGAGGCTAGCCTTGTAACTGGAGGCTAGCCTTGTGACTGGAGGCTAGCCTTGTAACTGGAGGCTAGCCTTGTGACTGGAGACTACCCTTTTATGACTGACTGGAGTTTACGCTTATGAATGGAGACAACTCTTATGACACCCGGAAATAAGGCGGAAATCTTCTATGTCGACAGTCGTAAGAGGGGCGCGTCCTACAATTCCTTTGCATGAAGGAACAAGATTTTTTTTTTGTCATTCACATCTCTCTCTCTCTCTCTCTCCCTCTCTCTCTCTCTCTCTCACTAAGTTGTCGACATTTAACCAGCACAACCAACGGAACTCGTAAAAAAAAATGGCTCAGAAATGTCGGCGAAAATCTATTGGATTTGACGCCTAATCTGGAACCTATTTATAAAAACTATCCGCCAGCCGCTGCACCGGCGATGTTTTATCGGACATAAACATAAAGAGATATGCCCTAATCAGTGAATATTATGTATTTATTCCAATAATGCATGTATAGTATAACAGTGTTCGTCTAAGTCTCTACTTGCTGGTTTGTTTACATGAGATGGTGAATTGAACCGGCCTGATGACCGGTCCTGAGTATGTGCCGTTTGATGAATCTCTTGCGGCTCTAAGGGCCGCCACGACTAATCCCTGTTTTTTTTCCCTATACCCAGGCAAGAAGTGGCGCGCCCTCACGCCCACGGAGCGACGCCCGTACGTGGAGGAGGCGGAGCGGCTGCGGCTGAAACACATGGCTGAGCACCCAGACTACAAGTACCGCCCGCGGCGCCGCAAGCCGCAACAGCCTAAGAAACCCGGAGGGACAACCCCGTCATCCAGTTCGACTCCTCTCTCATCCACCTCTTGTTCCACCATCACCACTACCACCGCTCCTAGCTCCTCCTCTTCCTCTCATATTAAAAAGGAGGGTCCTCTTATCCCCGGAGGTTTCCTGCAGGCGTCGCTGACGGCGCCCTTGAACACCACCACCGGCAGCACCACTGGCAGGAGTGGTTCTTCAGCGCCAGCACCTTCATCCTACACGGCCCCAGTACTGGCGCTACACACCCCAGACGCCTCTCCCACCTGCTCCCCAGAACCCACCTGGCCACCCCTGCTTCCTCAGGGACCCCAGCTGCCTCCCTGCACCCTCGCTGCTCTCCCCACGCCTCCTGAAGCCTCCCCTCACGACCACGACCACCTCCACACCCCCACCACCCTACACCACCATCACCACCAGGAGCAGCAGCAGCAGCAGCAGCTGCAGCAGTCTGCCACGCACCTCCACCTTCAACACCACCACCACACTCACCAGCAACAACAACAACAACAACAGCAGCACCACGCAGAAGCCTCCAATTCGACCTCAAAACTGCTTCAATACTTCTCTCCCGGTCAGCAGGGCTACCCCAGCTTCTACCCGGGATCTGCCTACCCACCACACACCTACGACTGCCACGACTACATGGGTGGGGCAGCAGAGGGATACTACCAGTGCCACTACGACCCTCAGGGATACACACACAACCACCACCCAGCATTCTCACACCCCGCCTTCAGTAGTGAGTATAACAGATTTTTCAACACACTCCTAGAAAGACTCTCACACTAACCATCAAGTTTAACGTAGTAACAACACACCTTTGCACTCGATGTTTCGCTATTGATAAAGCTCTATTTAGAGCGAAACGTTGTGCATAAATAAAGGCTCTGCACACAATGTTTTTCCCATACCTGTATACAAGGCTTTCCATGCAAGTCCTGGTGTCAGATTCATTTTGTCAGGTTGTGTACTGGAAAGATTACATAACCTGGGATGAAGTTGACCTCTTTGTGGTGTTATCTCTACCTTGTGGTGCGATCAGTTCCATTTTCTGTGAATATTAAAATGGTGTATAATACCGACAGGTTGGTAAGTTAGACACATGTGCAACAGTTAGGTATCTCTATTTTGAAACGTTTGGCCTACACAGTAGGCTTCTTCAGTCGAGTACAGAAGAGTTAGCAGAAGTAGCAGGGATGTAAAGACGATATCAGTCCACCCTTCAAGGGTGATGGACTGATTACATCGTCTTCACATCTCTCCTGCATATGCTCATTCTTCTGTACTTGACTAAGGAAGCCTACTGTGTAGGCGAAACGTTTCAGAATAAAGATACCTAACTGTTGCACGTGTGTCATACCAACCATTATCGGTACCCGGTGGTGTGATCGGTACCAACATCTCTCATTGTGTTCCTTTCTCTATCTCTATATCTCTCTCTTTTTCTCTCAGGTCCCAGGAGCGAGGTGAGTGCTGACGGTGGCAGCAGCGAGGGGGGCGTCACCGTGCCTGTGGGTAGCGAGAGTGAGGTCTTCGATGATGTGGATCGGTCAGAGTTCGACCGATACCTGAAGGGTCCGGAGCGTGTGGCCGTGGTTACCGCCTCCTTCACCTACACCCCTCCAGCCAACCCCAGGTGAGCCCACAGCAGGGGAGGGCAGTGAGTGGCAGGGGATACCACAGCAGGGGAGGGCAGTGAGTGGCAGGGGAGGCCACAGCAGAGGAAGGCAGTGAATGGCAGGGGAGACCACAGCAGGGGAGGGCAGTGAGTGGTAGGGTAGACCACAGCAGGGGAGGGCAGTGAGTGGCAAGTGTCTTAGAAGAGAGAGAGAGAGAGAGAGAGAGAGAGAGAGAGAGAGAGAGAGAGAGAGAGAGAGAGAGTGGTTCCTCTAAGGTTACTAGTGTGTAAGTAATTGCCGATGTTTACACATGGTTCTCCTGTCTACCGCTGACGTGATTCTTGCTGCTCTCCCTCAGGTACCTGCAGGTGGGCGGAGGCCAATACCAGTCCTCGCAGTTCGTGGCGCTGATCAAGGACGAACCCGAGGACTCTGCTGCCGGGGGCTCTGGCGGAGGAGGCTCTGACGGAGGCAGCGAAGGGGAGACTAAGTCTTCCGAAGTGCAGCGCCCCTCCCCCGAACCAGAGGCTTCCAAACCCGACACCAACACATCCAGTCTCCTCTCCGCCCTCGCTGACGTCAGGGAACTTTACTACGAGCACTCCTAGAGACCTCTCCTTTTCAACAGCTCTAAAATGGAGGTTCCAGGAGTCCTTCCCTCCTATGCATCAGCCCTATGAAAGAGCTTCCAGGAGACCCCTCCAGCATCCCTAGAAAGGAAAGTTCAGGAGTCCTTCGCTCTCCAACAGCCCTAGGAAAAGAGCTTCCAGGACCCCTTCCCTCCCCTACAGCATCCCTAGGAGAGTGAGTCCAGGAATTCTCTTTTCTCCAACAGCCCTATGAACGAGCTTCCAGGAGTCCCCTCCAGCATCCCTAGGGGGAAGAGTCCAGGAGTCCTTCGCTCTCCAACAACCCTAGGAAAGAGCTTCCAGGAGCCCTTCCCTCTCCTCCAGTATCCCTAGGAAAGAGAGTCCAGGAATTCTCCCCTCTCTAGCAGACCTAGGAAAGAGCTTCCAGGAGTCCTTCCCTCCCCTCCAGTAGCTATAGGAAGGAGAGTCCAGGGTTCTTCCGTTAATGATGACAGCGAGCGTCCCTCAGGATTCTCCTTGATTGTCTTCCAATAGAGTCCTAAAGTCTAAAATGTCTCTCTTCACTGCATCGTCGACACACCGCCCACCGCAGACGCCCACAAATGATAAGAGATAAACGGCGTCCGTGATGAGAGATACACCGCGTACGTGATAAGCTAGAACTAGAACCACAAATATTAAGGTTCGTACACTTCATCCTAGGAAAACAACAACTTGTGGGTTAAACACACCCTGGTATCTGATAAACTGCCTTCGTGTGTGTTTGTGTGTGTGTGAACTTGTTAGTGTGTTTGTGTGTGTGTATGTGTGTGTGTGTGTGTGTGTGTGTGTGTGTGTGTGTGTGTAAGAAGACTTTGACATCCCCACAAGTGTTGATCCACCAACTATTAACCCAGAGAATATTGACTCCCTGAGAAATACCATATCCTCGCTAGGGACGACCCTAGAGTGATGACTTCCCGAGTGATAACCCCCTTTCCCCCGGTCGAGTGATAACCTCTGACTGATGAATCCCGGGTGATGAATTCCAAAGTATTGAGCCCAAGCGATAATCACTGATAATATTCCCTCCCGATAAACAAATCTTTATAAATGCCAAAATGTTCCCACCAACATAAGTAAAGTTTATGAAAAAACTCGTCTACTTAACGTCGTAACAAGAAGAGATCTGGAACTGCCTCCCACAGAGTTGCACCTTGGGAACAACAACAGTGGTGTGGGCGAGACGTTGGCAGAGGGAGAGTTACTCACTGTTCCTTATTGTGGTGAGCGAAACACAAGCGAGATGTTTACCTACGAATGTTTTTGTTTTTTACATTTGTTAGTATCGAAGAAGAATTTAGAAGTACAAACAGTGTGCCTTTACGTATTTGTTTGTTGCAAGAAGCTGCATATCACATGTGACTCCTGAAGCCCGTCACTGTTAAGTATAGATGGACAAAATGAAATATATATATATATATATATATATATATATATATATATATATATATATATATATATATATATATATATATATATATATATATATATATATATAATGTACGCACTTCATACTGAAAAATTTTGTGTTTTTTTCGATTCATTTATTTTTTAATTTTTTTTTATTTTATTTTATTTTTTTTTTGGCATTTGGACACAGTTTATTTTCTTTTAGTTCGGTCTTTACTGCCATTGCTGCCATGTTTTATCTTGTACACTTTGTCAGACGTGACACATTATGTTCTACGCGACACATTGTCCCCTATGACCCATTATGTCCCTCGTGACTGATGTCCTCTGTGACCCATTATGTCCCTCGTGACTGATGTCCTCTGTGACACATTATGTCCCTCATGACACATTGTCTTCTGTGGAATATTATGAGCCCCGTTGCATATGATGTCCCTCATGACACGTCCTCACCATCACGATTCTTCCCAAATATTTCAATATTTGTGTCTCCCTACTCTACATTCCCTTCCATTTTGTCTATACACACTCTCTCGGGACACTTCATCTTCTCTCCAGTTATTCCGACTCTCTCACTATTTCCTTACTCTTCCATTTCCTTTGCTTGTTCCCCCTTTTCCTTTCCATTTTCTCTGTCTCCCCTCCCCTTAATATTTTTTGTCTCCCCTGGTCAAGGTATATTACACAGGTATCCCACGTGGCTAAGGTATATCACATAGGTAATCCACCTGGCTAAGGTATATCACACAGGTATTCCACCTGGCTAAGGTATATCACACAGGTATCCCACCTGGCCAAGGTATTTCACATAGGTAATCCAACTGGCCAAGGTATATCACACAGGTATTCCACCCGGCCAAGGTATATCATACAGGTATCCCACCTTCCCCAAAGAGTCACGTGATGTCTCGTTATCTCCACTTTGCATCCTCGCCGACCATGTTTATCATCTGTGTCTGAATTAGTTCATAGCATCTGTGATTGAAAGTTTTTTCTCTGGTAGCACAGAATTTTTCCACACTAGATAATGTAATATTCTTTATATACAGGATCTGATTCATATTTGATGAATTTATAATGCTAAGCCACCACTGGTTGATCTTGGCCTCAGTTTCTATGAGAGCTGTTCGACTTAGACTCTGAACTTCGACTCTCTCGTTAAGTTCATCACGCTACATTATTATTTCCTCCATACACAATGATAGGTAGAAGGAATTTAACCTGCATGAATCATGTTAAGTACACGAACAGAGTGCAAAATGAACTACAGGGTTAATTCTGAAGTGCCTTGCCTGTCATTACCTAGTAACATATCTTAAGTTGATATCCTGAGTCATGACGTAATTGTCATGTGATCTTGTGACGTCTTCGACCACTTGACGTCACGAATCACGTTGATGTCATTGTTGTACCTCAAATGATCTTGAGAATGAATGTTCCATTATTTTTTTTATATCAATGTTCGAATGTAATCAACTTTTTTGTTTGTAAATGCTATTGTTAGCTGATGGATTTTGTACAGAGAATAATTAATATATACTTGTAGATCAATTTCACCTTACTAGTGGTTTGAAAGAAACCAGTTAAATGAGTAGCAACGTAGCTTCCAAGATTCCTGTTCACACCAGTTTAGATCTTTCACTATTATTATTATTATTATTATTATTATATTTTATTATTATTATTATTATTATTATTATTATTATTATTATTATTTATTTTTATTATTAATTATTATTATTATTATTTTATTTTTTATTATTATTTACATTTCTGTGTTACGGATGGTGGTGGTCACTGACACAGGTAATTCCTTTTATTTCTTCTTCTTCTTTCCTTCTCTTCATTTCCTTCTACTGTTGCCTCTACATTTTCTGAACATGTTTATTATTTATTGACTCTTCCTGTATTTTATTATTCGTAAATATATTTTACATACTTTTCGTTTCATTATTGTAATTATTTTGATTATTATTTCTGTTTTTAATCTTTCCTTTGTATGTATGTGTGTAGTATGCAGAATTATGTAAGTGGTGGTGCATTTGTAACTCAATGAAGTGCCTTTCTAACCTCTGTAACTGTTGATGTGCCTTTGAAAACTCCCACATGCTGTCTTTATGGCTTCCCGAGTGACTTTATATCATAATCTACTCTGATATGGCTCTTTAAGTGTCTTTTGCATCATTTTGAAGTGCCTCTATGACTTTCTAAGTGCCACTCCGAGAAGGCAATTAGTGCCTGCATGGCTAAGTGTTTTTCATACACTGTGGAGAATTTTTACATTATTTTTTTTATGAAATATGACGGGGTAACAGAGAGCGGTGGGTAGACTGTGTTCCTGGACTGTAGGAAGGGCGTGGACAAGGTGACCTCCCGTAGACTGATCATCCCCAGGTTGGGACCACAAGCAGGCGGTGATGTGAAAGTTCTTCAATGACTTCGGTAATATATGAGGGACTCTTAAAGTACGAAGATATTGATTCATGGAACTGGAGCACTGCTTCCCTAGGATCGAACCTGATTACTTTTCATTTCCAGTGAGGGGAGAGGGAGAGAAAATTGTGTATATGTAGTTTATGAAGCGGTAAAACAGCGGGGGAGGGTCCTTCAGAGAAGATAGTATACACTAGTCCTTCAGAAAGTAGAGAAACACAGAGTAAGAGAAGACACGACATAAATCTAAGAGATCAGTTTTGGTAGCATCAAATTTACGCACACACACACACACACACACACACACACACACACACACACACACACACACACACACACACACACACACACACAAATCTGAACCAAAGTTGTTATACAGTCACATTAGGAGAAAAACAACTGTCAAGGACCAGGTAATCAGGCTGAGGAAAGAAGGAGGGGAGCTCACGAAGAGTGACCAAGAAGTATGTGATGAACTAAACAAAAGATTTAGAGAAGTATTCACAATAGAGTCAGGAATGCTTCCAGCAAACTGTGGAGGTAGGGTGCACCAGCAGGTGCTGGACACAGTACACATAACCAAGGTAGAGGTGAAGAAACTGCTAGACGAACTCGATACCTCAAAGGCGGTGGGCCCAGATAACATATCTCCATGAATACTGAGAGAGGGAGCAGAGGAACTGTGTGTGCCATTAGCAGCAAACTTCAGTAAATCTATCGAAACAGGTCAGTTGCCTGAGGCGTGGAAGACAGCACATATAGTTCCAATTTTTAAGAAAGGGGACAGACAGGCAGCATTAAACTACAGACCAGTGTCACTGACTTGTATAGTATGTAAAGTCATGGAAAAGATTATCAGGAGAAAAGTAGTGGAACACATTGAAAAGATTGGGCTCATACATGACAGCACGGCTTTAGAGATGGGAAATCCTGTGTCACAAATTTACTTAGAGTTCTACGATAAGGTAACAGAAGTAAGACAGGAGAGAGAGGGATGGGTAGATTGCATCTTTTTAGATTGCAGGAAGGCTTTTGGCACAGTACCACACAAGAAACTGGTGCAAAAATTAGAGGAGCAGGCAGGAATAACGGGGAAAGTACTGCAATGGATCAGGGAATACCTGACAGGAAGGAAACAACGTGTGTTGGTACGTGCTGAAGTGTCGGAGTGGGCGAATGTGTCGAGTGGGGTTCCACAAGGTTCAGCCCTAGACCCGGTGCTGTTTCTTGTATACGTGAATGACATGGTGGAAGGAATAGATTCAGAAGTGTCACTGTTCGCTGATGATGTGAAACCGATGAGGAGAATACAAGTGGGCGAGGATCAGTTAAGATTACAAGAGGATCTGAACAAACTACAAGTATGGTCCGACAAATGGCTCCTGGAGTTTAACCCCAGTAAGTGTAAGGTCATGAAGATTGGGGAAGGACACAGAAGACCGCAGATGGAGTACAGGTTAGGAAACCAACAGCTGCAAACGTTAGTTAAAGAAAAGGATCTTGGGGTAAGCATTATAACGAACATGTCCCCTGAGGCACACCTCAATCAAATAACTGCTGCAGCATATGGAAGATTGGCAAACCTGAGATTGGCGTTTAAACATCTGAGTAAGGAGTCATTCACGACATTGTACACAGTGTACGTAAGGCCTATACTGGAATATGCAGCGCCAGTATGGAACCCTCACTTAGTCAAACACGTCACGAAATCGGAGAAAGTGCAAAAATTTGCAACACGATTAGTCCCGGAACTGAGGAGTATGTCTTATGAGGAGAGGTTAAGGGAACTCAACCTGATGACACTAAAGGATAGGAGGGATAGAGGGGACATGATGATAACGTATAAAATACTAAGAGGCATTGACAAGGTGGACAAGGATCGAATGTTTCAGAGATGGGATACAGAAACAAGGGGACACAATTGGAAAGTGAAAACCCAGATGAGTCATAGGGATGTTAGGAAGTATTTCTTTAGTCTTAGAGTTGTCAGGAACTGGAATAATCTGGAGAGTGAAGTAGTGGAAGCAAGTTCCATAAATAGCTTTAAGAAGAGGTATGACAAATATCATGGAGCAGGGAGAGAGTGAATTAGTATCGACCAGTGAAGAGGCGGGGTCAGGAGCTATGACTCGACCCCTGCAACCACATATAGGTGAGTACACACAGTGGTGATTGGTAGTAAGTGCTACAACTACTGGAAATGTTCGATTCATATAAGGACACTACTGAAGACAGGACATCACAAGCACGGCCCTGCTCCTGTAACTACAAATAGGTAATTACAAACAAGTACCTATACACACAATACAGTCTTCTGCATAGTTTACATTATGAAACAATCAACAATCAGCGCTGTACAGTTCCTCCATGGAGACTGTGAGAGCTTCCTGCCTGTATTAGGAAATAGGATGTAAACTTCTTTATTATGTAACCAGTTAGAGGTGTCTGAGACTCAGGTAATATACACAGTAACGAATTTTGTAGATTTTATATGATCTTGAAGAGTGTGTGTGTGTGTGTGTGTGTGTGTGTGTGTGTGTGTGTGTGT